AACACCCTGGGATGTCATGGGTGCACGCCAACAGTCTGGGATGTCATGGGTACACACCAACACTCTGGGATGTCATGGGTGCACACGAACACTCTGGGACGTCATGGGTACACATGAACACTCTGGGACGTCATGGGTGCACGCCAACACTCTGGGACGTCATGGGTGCACGCCAACATTCTGGGACGTCATGGGTGCACAGGAACACTCTGGGACGTCATGGGTGCACACGAACACCCTGGGATGTCATGGGTGCACACCAACACTCTGGGACGTCGTGGGTGCACACCAACGCTCTGGGACATCGTGGGTGCACGCCAACGCTCTGGGACGTCGTGGGTGCACGCCAACGCTCTGGGGCGTCATGGATGCACACGAACACCCTGGGATGTCATGGGTGCACGCCAACACTCTGGGACGTCATGGGTGCACACCAACTCTCTGGGACGTCGTGGGTGCACGCCAACGCTCTGGGACGTCGTGGGTGCACGCCAACGCTCTGGGACGTCGTGGGTGCACGCCAACGCTCTGGGACGTCGTGGGTGCACGCCAACACTCTGGGACGTCGTGGGTGCACGCCAACGTTCTGGGACATCATGGGTGCACGCCAATGCTCTGGGACGTCGTGGGTGCACATGAACACTCTGGGACATCATGGGTGCACGCCAACACTCTGGGACGTCATGGGTTCACACGAACACTCTGGGACATCATGGGTGCACGCCAACACTTTGGGACGTCATGGATGCACGCCAACACCCTGGGACGTCATGGGTGCACACGAACACCCCGGGACGTCATGGGTGCAAGCCAACGCTCCGGGACGTCATGGGTGCACGCCAACGCTCCGGGACGTCATGGGTGCCCGCCAACGCTCCGGGACGTCATGGGTGCACGCCAACGCTCTGGGACAAGCTCCAGCGCTGCCATTCCTACCTGGGCGTTGGCCGTCGGCTCAGTCATTCCACTCCCACGCATCCCGCCCGTGGTGTGAGTGGGCCAGTGTCTGCGCTCCCTCTCCCCGCGCCAGAGCATGAGGACGTGCTTGTGGGCACAGGTGCAGGCGGCGAAGGACGCAGAAGTCGGGAAGCAGAATATGTGAGGTGGAGATCGAGACTGCTCGTGGGGAGGAGATGGCTCTTTTGACGGAAGAAGGCTTTTGAGGGGCAAAGAGCAAGCCCTGGCTCTGGGGGCCATGCTCAGGGCCAACTGTGGTGGACCCACGGGGCACAAGGGGTGCCCAGGCGACCCTCTGAGCAGGCTGCCGGGAGCCGCGTGGGCCGCAGCAGCCCAGTCGGGTCGCTCGGCATGTACAGGCCCCTCTGGGTTCCAGGTGCCACGAACAGCGCCCTGTCCCCGCCGCTTACCTTCTAGCTGGAAAGAGGGACTCGGCAAATAGAGTCACTAAATAAACACGATCATTCCACGTAGGGCCAAGGGCTGCGAATAAAACCACACAGAGTAACGGGCGGCGGGACAGGAGGGTGCTGGGGGAAGAGAGGCCGCCCAGCAGGTCTGGGCAGGTGGGGGACGGGGACGTCCAGAGGACAGGACAGGACAGGACAGGACGACAGCAGGCAGCGGGCAGCAGATGGAGACGCGGAGCAGAGGTTGCTGGTGGCGGAGTCTGTGAGCCACGCCCAGGAATTGGGGTTTGCCGTGAGGGCGCGTGGCCGCCGGTGGAGGGCTCTTGTCGCATTGCTCTGATCTCGTTTGTTTGCTTTTATTGTGGTCAGAACACATAACATAAAATCCACCACTACAGCCATTTTGAAGTGTGCCATTCAGCGGCATTTAGTACATTCACGATGTTTAGTACCTCGCAATGTTGAGCAACCACCTCTGTCTAGCTCCAGAACTTTTCGTCACCACCACTAGGAAACCCTGTCCCCATTAGCTGTCACTCCCCATGCTCCCCCCCGCCCCTCAGGCCCTGGCAACCTCCAATCTGCTTTTCGTCTCTGTGGCTGTGCGTGTTCTGGACACTTCATGTAAATGGAACCATACAGTGTGTGGCCTTCGTGTGTCTGGCTCCTTTTGGTAATGTCTTAAAGGCCCCTCTGGCTGCCTGGGGCGAGGGTCCACGGTGGGGCACGCTTGAGGCTGAAGCCACCGTTGGTGGGAATGCTGGAGGCCTGGGCAGGGAGGAGGGGGCGGTGAGAAAGGAGCAGACTGGTGCTGGCTCGGAGGGGGGACAAGCAGGGTCCACAGCGTGCCAAAGCAGGTGTGACAGGAGAAGCGGGACTGTGTCGTGGTCACTGACAGTCCAAGAATTTAAGAGCCAAGTACAAGGGGAAGGGCTGCTGCTCAAACTTTTCCTTTTTTTTAAGAGACAGGGTCACTCTCTGTTGCCCAGACTAGAGTCCAGTGGCACCATCAGAGCTCACTGTGACCCCGAACCCCCAGGCTCAAGGGATCCTCTCACCTCAGCCTCCCCAGTAGCCGGGACGAGGCACATGCCTCTGCGCCTGGCTACACAAACTGTAAGCACAAGCCACGCCTGACCCGCTGGAATGTGAGCACCGGAGTGGGCGGCTGGGGGGCAAGAGACATGCGCAGTGCTCAGCGAGACGGTGGGCTGTCCCCCTCCGGGTTCTCTCAGTGGGACAGCTAGTCGATTTCTCCAGCTTGGTGGCACACCTGCTCACTGGAAACTCCAGGGCAGGCAGGCACAGTCACGCCTGTAATCCTGGCAATCTGGGAGGCCGAGGCGGGCGGATCATTTGAGCTCAGGAGTTCAAGACCAGCAAGAGCAAGACCCTGTCTCTATTTAAAAAAAAAAGAAAGAAAGAAAGAAAGAAATTAGCTGGGCGCGGTGGCTCACACCTGTAATCCTAGCACTATGGAGGCCAAGGTGGGTGGATCGTTTGAGCTCAGGAGTTCGAGACCAGCCTGAGCAAGACCAAGACCCCGTGTCTACTAAAAATAGAAAAAATTAGCCGGGCATGGTGGCACATGCCTGTAGTCCCAGCTACTTGGGAGGCTGAGGCAGGAGGATTGCTTGAGCCCAGGAGTTTGAGGTTGCTGTGAGCTAGGCTGACGCCACAGCACTCTAGCTGGGGCAACAGAGTGAAACTCTGTTTCAAAAATAAAAAAAAAAAAATTTTAACTCTAGGGCACCCATTCACCTGCCTACTTAGTGCAAATGTTTCTGGGGGCTCAGAGCCACCGTGCTCAGTTGCACAGACTGGGTACTGCACAACCTAAAAGGAGTACACTCACACAGACTTGGGCGTGACTGGCATCCTCCCTGTGGCTGGGCAGAAGCGTGTGCAGTGGCGCCTAGTAGCTACGGTCGCTGGAATTTCTGTGTTTGTAAGCAAAGGACCTCCCTGAGAAGAGAGAGGGGAGCTTGTGAGACACGGGGCAGCTCTCTCGGCCTCTGAAGGCCAAGTGGACGCTGGTGTTTAAGCACAGCTGCTAGAGTCGCCACACAGCCTGTGTTTTCCTCCTAAGAAGGAAAGCGTGGCCAGGGAAATGTCAACTCCGAGGGAAACCCAGCTGGCTCATCGCATGACAGCCACCCAGGAGCTGTGCCGTGTCACCATGTTCTCCAGGCAGTGGGAGGCCTGCCCGGGTCCAAGGCCACCACCTCCCTCCCGTCACCCACACCTCCCTCCCGTCACCGCCTGGCTGCTCTGGGGCCGGGCAGACCATCTGCTTTGCGCGGCCCAGGCGCAGCGGGCGGACCCGCCCCGGGGTGCGCGCTGGTGCCGGCGGGCAGCATGCCGGGTCTGCAGGGGCACGGCCCCTCTGGGGCTGGCAGGCCTGCCCTGCCCCCGCAGCGTCTCCGTGCAGGCCTCGGGAGGGAGCCCCAGACCTGGTTGAATTCTAGCTGTGCCGCTGGCTGGTTGGCTGTGGGACGTTAGGCCAGTCACTTAACCTCTCTCGGCCTCAGTTTCTTCCTTTGCAAAGTGGGAATGAGGAGACTGACCACTTGGGACTGCTGGAAGGGACAAAGGGGTGTTGGAGTGTCCCTGGCCCATCCTGGCTGACGACAGCTCCTGTCGTGATCCCTGTACCCACCCTTAGGGAGACGGGGGAGACACACCCCACACACACCCTTAACCAGGCTTCACAGTGCCCCTCTAAATACCTATCCTAAGCCAGCAAGTCTCACCGCTTCTTTTCTTCTTTTTTTTTTTTTAAGAAAAATATCTAAAATGCAAAAAAAACGGGGGGGAGGCTACTAAACAGCCATATTCCCATCACCCAGCGAAGTCCAGCTGCGGGCAGGTGGCCCTTCATGGCCAGAGACCATGCTTTCCTGCCCCTCCCTCTTCGCTCCAGCTTACCCCGGCTCCTTCTGGCACAGAGGAGGAGCCGGGGGTCTGAGGGTTGCGGGAGGCAGCAGTGCTCCTGGTTACCCCCACAGAAAGCGGGGACGGCTGGAGCAGGCGGTGTCGCAGAGGTGCCGGGGCGGGGCACTTCCTGCAGGCCCTCAGGCCACCACGGGGGTGACCTGCAGGCCGCTCAGGCAGATAAGCCCTGCGGTGCCCCACCCTCTGCCTGGATGTCCCCCAGGCGCGATGGGCTGCCCTAGGTCCGCCTGCCGCCCTGGAGCGGATGGGCTGCGGGAGTCCTACTCGGCTGCTGCTTAGCGCTGGGGCCGGGCGAGCCCTCGAAGTGAGATGTCCACCGGGCACTTGCATATGAGCAGGGCTCCGCAAAACCCACGCAGGCGCCGACTGTCTGGGCCTTGCTCTCCCGTCTGTAAACTGAGGGAAGTTGTTCCAAACAGTCTCTTCGGGGACCCTCCAGCGCCACCTACACAGGTCTTCTTTGCCAGTCCGAAATGTGGCCCTGGGTGGGTGCCAGGGACCTGGGAAGGCGGGGGGGGGGGGGCATGGTTTTCTATGGCCAATGCCACTCAGAGGATAGAATCGCGTTGTTTTGGTTCTGCCCCTCTTTCTCGAGAGGAAGGGTAGAGGGCATGGGGACTGCTGGGCACCCCCAAAGCTGGAGAGGGAGGCAGAGAGACCCCACGTGGTCACAAGTAGCTGCCATGCCACCTCCACCAAGCCAGGCATGCGGCTTCCATGCGTCGTTTTCCAGGGCAGCACCGGACATCGACGAGCTGAGCCCGCCCAGGCCAGGCCTGAGAAGGGGCGCGGGAGTCCTTTATTCCACACCCCGCCCCCAGCTGTGGCCATTCCCCCCTCCCGCCACCTGCAGCACGCATGTGTGCCAGCCACTCCCGGGGAAGTCTGGGAAAGCTTCTACCCAGGTGGAGAAGGGAGCATGGGAAGTCCAAACCAGGGGTGCAAACTGCTGTGTGGCCACAGGCCAACCCCTTGCTCTCTCTGGGCCTCAGTCTCCCCAGCTGTAAGATGGGGCAGTAGTGCCAAGAAGGAGCCTTCTGATTCCAGACAGCCCAGTCACTCTCCCTGGACTCGTGCAAGCAGCCATGCCAGTGGAGGTGGCCTGGTGGCAATGTGAGGGCCAGGGTCACCCTGGCAGACAGGAACCCAGATGGCTTGGCCTGGGTATCGTTCCTACTTCCCAGGAGGAAAGGCCCGAGAGCAGAGGAGCTGGGGGAGTGGTGACACCGCCGCCTCCCGGGAACCACCAGGAGGACACCCTGCAGCTCAGCTGCAAGGACGCCCAGGAGCCATGACGTCCCCTGCAGCTGCCCATGCCTCCCAGGATGGGCCCCACGGATGGTGGGCAGAGTTGGAGCTGAAATGACCCTGGGAGTCCAGTCCAGGCCCCTATGTTGCAAACAGGGAAACTGAGGTCCAGACAGGCCCTCCTCACCCAACAGGTGGCTGCACTGGGAATCTTCTTAGTTTTGTCCCTCTGAGTCTCAGTTTCCTCATCTGTCATATGCAAATGACAATCCCAGGACAGCCCAGGGCAGCTCAGGAGCAGCGGACAGTGGTCTAGCCAGTTGCCGTTCTCCAAAAAGCCCCAGTGTACCCTCTCCCTGCTCTCCCTACTCCGTACCCTGGGTCCCTTCCTCAGGCTCCACCCTGCCAAGCTCTCCCTGCCCTCGGAATCTCCCCTCCTGTGCCTGGCTGGGGTCTTCTTTCCGACATCATCCTCTCTCTCCCTCCCTCTCTCTCTCCTCCCCCACCGCCTCTCCCCTCCCCCAACCTCTCTCTCCCTCTCAAAGGCCGGACTCTCCTGCCTCTCTCCTGGTGTTGAGCAGCGGGTTCGTGCACTCATGCACACAGAATCCTATCAGCTTCACAATCCTCTAAGTGCTATCGTAAGCCATAGCTGTATTTACATCACCCCAAAGTAAAACCATACGCATCTTATCATTGTTGCTTTGGTTTTTTGTTTTTTTTTTTTTTGAGACAGAGTCTCGCTTTGTTGCCCAGGCTAGAGTGAGTGCTGTGGCTCAGCCTACGCTCCAGCAACCCTCCCAACTCCTTGGGCTCAAGCGCTCCTCCCTCAGCTCCAAGTAGCTGGGACTACAGGCACACACCAGTCCAGCCCAGCTATAATTATACTATATATAGTTCAGGCTTGTTACCATTAATTTCTTTCTATTTTTATAGTAGGACAGGGTGTCGCTCAGGGCGGTTTTTGACACTCCTGGGGCTTGAGCAATCCGCGCGCCTTGCTCCAGAGGTGCTAGGATTACAAAGCGTGAGCCACCACGCCCGGCGGTTTTTTTTTTTTTAAGGAATGGGAGTCTCGCTCCGCCCAGGCTGTCTTGCCAAGCTGCTGCCTGTCGTATGAAGCCAACACTCTTGGCACCAGATTTTGAGAAGAGAAAGGCTAATTGCAGAGCTGGCCGGCGGGGACAGGGGCGGGCTCCCATCTGTCTGGGCCTGGGGTGAGTCTGCAGGCTCTGAGAGCAAGGGAAAGGATTTAGGAATGTCGGCTCCACAGAGTCTGATTGGAGGGCTTTAAATTCGGCCATTTACAGGAAAGTGTGTTGCGATGGATTTTAGCCCAGGATCTTCTGGGCCGACGGACCCCTCGCTTCTGGAAGAGTCCTGTGTTCAGGTTCCACAAGATAACGTGACATTTTGTCATCGGCAGAGCAGGCCCAGTTTGGGATGGTCCCGCAGCGGTGGGATCATGGC